AATCTTTGTCTTCAAAGGGAGTGCTGAAAACACAGCTGATGAAAGTTTGTCTCTTCATTTCCTTACAGTTTTGCAGCTTCTCTGTGACCTTCTAGCAGGAGCCCATCAAGCCATAGGCTCCTGACTGCTGGTGTCTTAGATCTGCACAGAACAGGATACCAGAGTATGAGACTGATGCCCTTGCATAGCTAGTTTATGAAGAACAAACAGCCTGCCACTAATGCTTGTTTCTTTGCCCTGGTTAAAGTCAGTAGTCCTCCATCTTTTCTAATAGTGCGTTCACGCAGGAATGAATTGCACAAGAAACTCAGTGGAGATAGATTTTCTTTTTGACCTTTTGTTAAGTAACTCTGTGCTTAAGGAGTTGAACATCTGGGAACACAGGGTTAAGCACTTCCAAATGTGAGAGACAGCTGAATGGAGATGGCTTAAGATAACTTGACTTTTCTGCATGTGTTTGCATCAAGATTTCATCTTGTCCATCTTGCCACAATCTACAGCAAAGTCAGGACAGACTGTGACACTCCTGTTGCCACTCTGATGCTTTCTCCACAATAGAAAAATGGTGGGTTTCTCTCACCCTCTCTTTTTGTGTGTCTTCTCAGTTGTTTAGCCAGCAACTGCGCTGATTCTGATGGTTCTCTGGTTCTTAGTGCCTGGTTTTGCAGCAGGAGTGGTTTGCTTGTTTGTTGTATTTGATTTTTTGACCTAATGCTTTGTCAGGCAGTTGCCACATACATTACAGTAGTTGCTGTAGCTTGGCAGGCAGTTTGCTGGTAGTGGGTGGTAGAGTCAGTGAGGTAGCAGGGTACCATTAACTTGGGTGGAAACTGGACAGCATTTTCGAACTGAATTTGACCCGTAGTATTCCCATGCCACTGAGCCACCCTGTCTTCACAGTATTGCCGATCACCCCACTGTGTCCAGTAGTGGCACCAAGAAGACAGGTACCAGTCCTTGAGATGGTAACATGGGGAGAGCACTGACACCATTCTCTCTCATTCTACTATTCACACAGGTACCATGGCTTGCTTCTTGGTTTGACTGTCACCAGTTTCCCAGGCCTTTCTGTTTTTTGAGACACTTCATATGGCATCTGTGGAGCCTGGAGTGCAGGTTAACTGCTTGCTTAGCCAGCATCCATTTCCAGTGGCATCTGCCAAAGGAAAATGCTTTGGCTACAGGGGAGAAGGTGACATGAAGAGCAGTTCCTGTTCACCCTCACACCAAAAACCCAGGCACACTTTAGGGATGCTCTGGTGCCCTCGAGCTGCCAGTGGCAGTCTGGTTCTGCTTCCCTCCATCCTGCACGCATGGCTTTGCTTACACACATATGTGTGCACACTGGGAAGAAGTGCATGGGCCTTAGCAGCATGTGTGACTGGCATACTTACTTATTTTCTTTTTCCCTGGAAAAGGTGAAAGAATTTAAAAAAATTTATTGTACCTTTCAACTTTAAATCTTTAAAAATTGCTTCTTATTGAGAATTTAATAGTTTCTTAAATGTAAACTTGGGAAAATATTTACTTTTCAAGCATGAATATCATTCTGCTTTCTCACATCACTGAAAGTGTATTATTCTTTTCAGACCATTGAATTCCAGGGATCACTTACGTTAAAAGTCAATGTGGTTTCCAGTGTCAGAAGACGTAAGGTTTTGTATTTATGGTTGGAATCCCTTCTTGCTCCTTTTCCTGTGTGATATTAGCTGAAAACTTTTCAGATTCATACAGCTCAAAGGTATTCAGGTGCTTTCCCAAGGGTAAAAGGTAATTAGATCAAGGAATGGTCTTTAAAAACTGTCACAGACCCAATTCTGGTACTGTTATTTACACAGGTAAGGGTTGTGTAACAACAGTGGGAGGATCAGCCACAAGCCTCAAGCAGATGAAACTCGTACATTTAAATCAACATGAACATGGTTTTTGTTTCTTTGAACTTGGAACTTTTGCATTTTATTGCTGTGTGATTAAAACACTGGAACAGAATTGCCCATTTCCTTTTTGCTGCCTTTTTATAGCTAAAAGTCCCAGTCTGAATATCTTGCTCTTATTATCAGCATTGCACCTGCTCACTGCTCCTTGATTTCAGTGACTGCAGTGAAAGTCTATTCAAGTAAGCAGTGCTGGTTTAGCTACAGAAGCAGCACTCATTTGCTAAAGGTACTATGTCAGTAGTGCCAGATTGTTTTTAAAATCTATGTGGCTGTCACTGTATACCCTTTTGCACATTCAGAGACCAGCATATATATCCCAAATTGCCTAAGTGTTAAAGCTGTGATTAATTTGGAAGTCAGTAGAAAAACAACCCATGTTGTTAGGTAAGAGACCCTGAGACCCTGAGGCGGCTTGAGAGGCCAATCAGTCGGTGGCTGGAACTGTTTCCATCTAATGACACTTCCCATTTGAAGGTCAGGATGTCTGATGCCCCATGAGAAATATTGAAAGACTGGGGGAGCCCACTGGTCCAGAAGGCTTTGGAGCCAGCTCTTGAGCCGAT